GAGACAATCGGCATGTGCTATTCCAACGGCAAGGTTCTACTGAATAACTTCCTCCCACCACCAGAAATTCTCCAAACATTGCTTGCTGGTAATAACGACGACTCGAAAAAATTTCTTTCGAATATTAGGAAATACAACGGCGCTTTCCAAATGATATCCTTTGTTGCCAACGTTGTTCGTGAGGTTATATTTATGCCTATCTTTAAGGTGGAAGGCCAAGTTTGCCACTGAATTGGATTGTTACTACCTCTTCATGATGGCGAGCCGAAGTTTCTACAAATATAATTCGTAGAAGACATCGACCTACAGGCTCAAAGCCGATCGCGAATGTACCCATGCCTCACATAATATTGTCCCTTCAAGACATGCTACACCGGCGCAACAGCTACGTTGACAGTTTCAAGTTCGCCCTGGAGATGCATGCTTCCCTTGGTTTCGCGGTTGTCATAGATGCCGATAAATGCCCTCGCGGAGAACAGCAACAGAGATTTAATGCTCCCATATGCATTGAGGTGGCCGTCGTCATGTCAGATACGCAGCATGGCAACTTGGATATTGTCTTGAGGAGGGAGACGATAGACTGCAAATAATTTATGAGACACACCGTTCAAACCATTTTCAGTCGCTACGTTCTGTGCAATTACTCCTTCTGAACATACACATACTCTTAATCGAGTCAAAACTACCTCATAAATTCAGACTGATTCACCTTCGTCTTCATAATCTTCTTATTCTCACGTACGGTTTGCCTACATAATGAGACAACAACATGTAAGGAAGCCCAAGGCGAAGCCGGCCTTCCGCGCTAGTACAGTAATATAAGGGAGGGTAGAGTTAACGAAAGTTTTAAGCAAATCAATCAGTTGTAATTAGGGGTAAAAGGGGGAGAGAGGAATCAAAGGGGTCAGATTCTAGTCTTACTTGGAGACCAGACAAAGGGAGTGGTAGGGAGTAGGGGAAGGGGTCCGACAATAAGTTCATGTCGTTCCGTCGTCCTCTTCTCGAGTTTTGTTGGGAGGTGTGAGGACGCAAGGTGTCAACGTCTTGTGACGGCTTTGATGGCCTGGGGATACTTGATGCCGCAGACTCTTCACTGTTTCGCGGCGTGGTACGATGCGTGGGGACGGATGTTGAAATGGCCTTCGGCCACGGGAGCCTTAAGTCTGCTACAAATGCTTTCTGCGCACATAAAATTGAATTAGTGAGGCGTGTGGCGACTGCCTCTGCCGCCGCAAATATCCGCTGATGCAGAAACTTTGAATACTTAGCCGGCCCTTTATAGACGACTCTAAACGTTTGGTTGATGTCTACCCGATGACCGCTGCCTACCAAGTGAGCCAGAATTGCGCTTGATATCGACTTTACTTCGCCTCTGTTTAGCCGAGAAGGGTGGTGCTCTCGCATGCGCTTGGATAGCCGCCTAGTCTTTCGACCAATGTAACCTGCCCCACAGCAGCACGTAAAGTTGTAAGTAAACATTGAAGAGGTCTGGAACGGCAGTCTATCCTTGTCCTGCTCGGCTTGTGAGGCGGCGGAATAGGCCTCGTTTCTGACATAATGGCACTACTGATTGGTTTGCTTAAAACTTTCGTTAACTTTACCCTCCCTTATCTTACTGTATTGCCTGATAATGAATTAATCGAAAACGTTCGTTCGCCTAACTTGACTTCCTGAAATATGAACGGTTAAAAAGATGAGGCGCTTGCGAAGTAGCAGCGCAAGACACATGTATTGCATGTCCACCGTGAAGTGTTCACATGAATCAACTTTAATTTTAATAAAAAGGTCTCTTGAAATCAAATAAGTAGTGCATTTTTAGTAATCAATATTATCTGTATTGACGTCATACAATTTCGCGACCTCTAATTCATCTGCGAACGGTCATTGCCTGCTAAT